TTCGATTGGAGAGAAACTTGGAAATAGATAGATAAAGATAAAGGTAAAAACTGCATAAGTGGAGAAAAGAATAAAAGGTGGATATTTCAGATCAAATGCCTGGGTGACCTACTGCCAACCTTGATGAAGTTAAGGAAAAGAAGACCAGATATATATACATCAAATACATGTATAATATGTAAAGAAAAAGAAAAAGACCTAGATCATCTCGCCAACTGTGAAGATTATCAAGGTATATGGAGCATCATTAAAGACGAAGCAAGTAAAGAAGGTCTACAAGTATTACGGCAAGAAGAACGTGAAAGAAGACTTATGAACAAAGAAGATGTCAAGGATCTGTTCTTCGGAGAATCTCAAGACGAAAGAATAGAAACAAGAAGATATTTGATCAGAGGCATCATACTCAAAAAGAAGAAAGAAGAAATTAGAAGAGAAATAGGAGATAATAATGTACTGCAAAAAGTGCTTGATGCGATAAAGACAAGATTTGATGAAAGGTTTCAGGAACATATATGGAACTTTAGATGTAAATTGGTCAATGACTGGGAAAAAGAACACGGAATTACAAATGAAGCTAAAAAGAAAAAATAATACAAGAAGAGGAAAAAATCTGTACAGAATCCTGAGAATAAAGAAAACAGAATATTAGAAAAAAAAAAAAAAATATTGGCCAAAGAAGAAAAAGAAAAACGAATCTTTACACGAATGCAAAAAAACAATCAAAATTTTTTCAATATCGTATCAAGTCAGACTAGTCCTCTTGGACTTATATTAAAAAGAAAAAAGGTGATACTGACAAGGTCGGCGGCTCTCAGCTTATGATCGGAGGGAACAAATCCTCAGAAAGTTGAGGATCCAACATGAAGCAAATCAGCTGCTTAGGCGGGTCGCACCTGGGCGTTTAACACTGAGTGAGTCTTTATTAGTACAGGAATTTAGTATAGAATTATATATTTGTAATAAATATAAATTTTAATACTTCCAATTAAAATAATAAAGGCAGAATCGCCAAAAAAAAAAAAAAAAAAAAAAAAATTCTATTAGTTTAATATATTTTTAAATGTTGAACAAATTTAATTAGTATATAAAGTTAGAATTAATTAGTAAAGTTTTGAGAATAATAAGATTTTATAAAATCTTATGATTCTTTAAAATTTATTAATTAATTCTAACTTCATACACTAACTAAATTTGTTTATATAATATCTTTTTTTTTTTATAACTTTCACAATATTATGAAAGAGTAAATTTTATTAGATATTTTTGTAATACATTCTTGGTTAATGAGAGTATATTTAACTATATATACAACTTTTGGTTGCCTATTTAAATAGTCTGCCTGAAGGTTTTACACTATATGCTATACTTGCAATCTATTAGGAGATTACATATTTAATCTTCTAATGTCTTTTGTACTGCACCACTATCACAATCATGCTAATCTATAATCTTGTGCTGCTTTAATTAAAGATTACTCAGATTGACATTTGCTATACTCTAATTCTATAAATAAACTAGTAAAGTTTTCATACTACCAGATTGCTTTAGAGAGGGTGTAGTATTTATTCTCTAATCTTTCTATATTCTATACATTTTCTGATTAGGCTTTGAATACCTTCTGCAGCAGCTGAAACTATTATTAGCAGTCAGGTTAAACTATTAAACTGCACAATTCTAATATTCATGCTTTTGCAAGGTTTGTTTCAATCTAATACCTATATATATTAAACTAGTCTTTATATTGATCTCTTCTAAACTACTAAACTAATTAGCCTGGATAGGTTATTGTATCTAGGTTTTAAGTACCTTCCAGTTTTATTTTTCTTTATTTCTAATTCTATAGTATAGAACCTTTTCTTCAATATGACTCTAACGATCAGGTTGATAGATCCTTCATACTCAAGGTTTTCATCTAGTTCTTTGGTCTCTGATTCTAGCTTTCTGCAGTATTATCAAAAATCTTTACTATCTCTTTACTTAAATTTTGCCAAACAGGTTTCAATTATTCTGGTTCTTTGGATTTGGATTATCTAAAAGCTTCTATTTTGAAATAGTAGTACCAAGTTACAGATAATATATCCAACCTATCATCAAATAAATATTACTAATATATAGGCTTATTTTTCTAAAAACACTTTCAGTAGAATTCAAATTCTAGATCTGCACTTGTGGAATAACAACTTAACCACTACTTTAAGTCACTACACCTTTTGTTTAGTATATAAAAATATATTAAATTAGTAGAGTTATTTTTATTTTACTTAAAATTTGAAAATAAAATGTTTAATTTTAGATTTTTGATTAAAAAATCTAAAATTAAGCATCTTTGTTTCAAATTTCAAATAAAATAAAAATAACTTTGTTAGCTTAATATATTTTTAGGTGCTAAACAAATTTAGTTAGTATATAAAGTTAGAATTAATTAGAAATCTTGAGAATTATAAGATTTTGCAAAATTTTATTAATAAAATTCTATAAAATCTTATGTTTTTTAAAAATTTATCAATTAATTCTAATTTTATATATTAAGTAAATTTGTTTAACAAGAGTATAGCAACTTAGTAAAGTAAGTAAGTTATCGCACCTCAAGTGGCAGAACAAGAGTTCAAATTCTACTAGTAATGAAATTCGAATTTGTGAAATGTGTTATAGCTAATATTGTTAGCTAAAATTGTTTTTAGCTTGTAGAAATATTTTGACATTTAATATTTAGTATGTTGAAATTCTAAAACAGTGCTAAAATTCTAAAATAGTATCGAAATTCTAAATAATACTAAAATGTCTAATAATGCTGAAATGTCTAAATAAAGCTGAAATATCTAAATAATATCGAAATGTCTAAATATATCGAAATGTCTAAATTAAAAGCATTAGTAAGCATCTGAACTAGTTTATTGTTGTAGATTTAAAACAGATTCATTTCAAAAATAGCTGCTTTATATACAAGCCCCCTACCAAACAGATTTATTTATTAATTAATTATCGAAAAATATCTGCTTGAAAACTTTCCCACATCTATGCGTGATTTTTTTACTATAGTGCACCAAGTCACTTCTCATCAAAAATCATGTATTTTTTAAAAATCTATAAAATCTTAAATTTTAAATATTTTTTAAAAATGTAATCGATAAAAACAATTATTTTTCATTAGTACTATCCAAATTATCGGTTAGAATTTTTTTAAAAAGCTTAAGCATCAAGTTATAAGTAGCTAAAGTTTAGAAAATTTATACAATTTATTATATAAATTATAAAATTGGCACCATGCTACTATATATAGTTTATACAAAAATTGGCGTCATATTAATTATATATATGCGATCTATGTAAATTAGCACGAAAACAAAAATAAATTAAACTATTCTAGTCTCAAGACCAAATTAATAATGTTAATTAGTTTGATTGGTTTACTCAAAATCAGTTTTTATTTTTTTTTTCTTGCTAATGTGAGATTTGCCTCTTACTTTATTAAGGTTTAGTATATATATATGTTCTTACACTTAAATTAAATATTCATTGCAAATTTTTTTATGCAATGCTAATTTATCAGTTTAACAAAGCTATGGAATAGTTTTAATCAATTTGTAATTTTTTTTTCTTTTTTTAAGCAATGTAAAATTAAGTTTATCATCTAATCTATATCTTTTGCTTGAAATAATGGGGCTGCAAAGAATGCTTATTATATGCGATATGAGTTTCAGCAATTCAGTAATTACTTCAATACATATTTTATGGAGTTAGACCATATATATTGCTGTGTGCCTTGACATTTGAGTTAAATCGGCGGCAATGTTGTTTAAAATCTGCTGAAAATAGTGTTTCTCATGAGCAGTGTAACGTTAGACTTTGTAACAATGGCATTAATACATACGTACATACGTATTTACATACATATTTACATACTAGATACGTATGTACGTACGTACATACTTCTAAGGATAGATAGAAAGTGGTGACACTATAGGGTAAAATTTTCTTGGATATTATGATAAGTGAGGTGCATTCGAATGGTATTTAAAATCTGCTGAAAGTAGTTACCCTAATGGACAATATAATCTCAGTACTTGTTATAAAGAAGACATTAGCACTGCGAAGAATAAAAAGAAAATTTGCTAAATATAATTCTTCTGGTGGAAAACTTTTGTGTTGGACTCTGCTATAATATGGAAATAGTATCACAGAGGATGAAACGAAAGTATTTTTGCTTATATCGAAAAGAGTAAAAAAAATATATATTTAGTTCATTGATTATTTTGAATTAATACGTATGGGCTAAAAGTTGATTATCAGTTTCGTTGAAGACCGATCCATAACTACATAAAGATAATGCATATTAGTTGAGAATGTAAAACCATTTAACCAAATTTGAATATATTAGATTAATTCGGGTTTATTTAATATTCTCTATAAAAGGATTATCCCAACAATAAAATTTAATTGAGTTTTACTCTCAGTATTCTAATATTTCTTTAGTGTAAGAATATAAATCTTAAGTTTCAATTCACTCAGATGTTCTATATCTTAATAATTTTTTATTGTATATTATTCAATATATAATAGCGGTGCGAAATAATTATCGAATTCTGCTTTATTAACTGCTAAAACTAATTTTGCAGTAATGAACAGTTTGCAGTTTCAATCGTTTTAATAATTAATGAAAAAAAATTATATCTTATAATAGTTTAGATTCTTTGAGATCAAGATAAAATTCATTAGTTTATTTACTTACAAGTTTTCTTTATTGTCATTTAACGATACAATACTAAGACTTTTTTAAAAATTGTTCCAAATTTATGAATCTAAATATATAGTCAATATATAGTCAATATGATTTTCAAATAAAAATAAGCATGAATAAACTTCAAATCATGTCTTTATCAGTGATGTCATGTATTGTAGAAATTCAATATAAAGCTACATTTTTTCACTAAAACTATGTTCTTAATGATCTTGTTCTCACAATATTATCTCATTACATTCTATATTCATAAACTTTAACAATGCCAAAATCAAACCTCAAAAATGCTGCGCAAAAACGTATATTTACACAAAGTAGAAATAATGTTGAAAGATTTTCAGCCGCAAAAAATAGTGATCAAGAATATAGCGATCCAGAATATAATGATCTAGAATATAGCGATCTTGAATATAGTGATTCAGAACTTTTAATTTATGAATCTGAAAATAGTAATGAGGATAAAATTAATAATGAAGAGATGGAACTTAGTAGAGAAGAAGCTGAACGGTTAGTTTATGAAAATGGTTCTTATTATAATATTCAATGGAATAATGAAGCATCTGGTGATCGGTTACCCTATTATTCTGGTAGCTCAAAATGTACTCAGCAACGCAAAAGTAAAGAATTACGGAAAGCAGCACAAGGGTCAATGAGTTTGGACAATTTTTTTAAACTAGTAAAAACATTAGAAGTAAAATATGAGATGTCAGACTCAGATATAAGCGATTCAGATATAGAAAATAACAGTTCTATTTCAGAGAAAATAAATAAATTAAATAATAAACTCAAAGATATAAAAAATATGAACGTTTATGAATATCTCTGTCATCTTGCAGTGCATAAATACCTTACTGTAATCTTCAATAATGAAGAGTCACATTCTTGCATAAAATTAAGTCTTGAAATATCACAACAAGTCTTTCAACGTGGTCCATGGATAGCACGTGTATTCGTGAATGGTCAAAGAGTTGAATTATAACTGAAACTTTACCTGTCTCTAAGCAAGGACAACAGAAATACATACCAACTCTTATAGATGATGAGGATATACAAAGTTCCTGCTTGCGTTTTATCCGTACTATGGGTAAAAGAATAACTGCTGAAAGATTTTAGAATTATGTTCAAAAAAATGTTTTACCATATGTTACTAGTTCTCGCACTTCAATTTCAATTGAAACAGCCCGAACTTGGCTTCGTCGTCTTGGCCTTGTATATCAACGACATCAACAAGGTATTTACTATGATGGGCACGAACGTCCTGATGTTGTACAATATCATGCAATATTTCTTGAAAAAATGAAAGATCTTGAAACTTTAATGCCACAATTTGCTGGCGAAAATATGGAAATAGTTATTAATCCTGAAATAAGTGAAAAACAAATGCATATCCTTGTCACTCATGATGAGTATACATTCTATGCTAATGATGGTCGTCCTTCAGTATGGGCTCCTCTTGGTATGCCGCCACTACGCAAGAAAGGAAAGGGCAAAACACTTATAGTTTCAGAATTTTTAACTGAAACTCATGATCGCCTCACAATTACTCCTGCAGAAATAAATGAATTAAACCTACCATCAACATTCCCACAAGAAGCTCGCATTATTATCAAACCTAGAAAAAATAATGATAGCTGGTGAAATGCTTCTGACTTGCTTTCACAAGTAGCCAATAAAGCGATTCCTATTTTTGAAGCAACACACCCAAACTGTGTTGATGTTTTTGCATTTGATAATAGCACCAATCATAGTGCTTTCACAAGTGATGCGTTATGTGCTAAAAACATGAATCTTTATCCTGATAGTAAACAGTCGAGATTACGTGATGGTTGGTTTATTAATGAGCAAGGTGAACAAATTACACAACCAATGATTTTTTCCAAAGATCTTCCTCCTGATAATCCCAATTATATTTTCCGTGATCAGCCAAAGGATATTCAGCAAGTCCTTCATAAGCGTAACTTATAGCCTACTAATGGTCTAAAATTAAAATGCGGAAATAACTACTATGATCCAGATGCACCTAATTGTTGTGTGCATCACCTTTTGTCTATACAGCCTGATTTTACTATGCAAAAATCAGCATTAGAGGAACTTATCATTGAACGAGAACATATTTGTATATTTTATCCTAAATATCATTGCGAGCTAAATTTCATTGAACGATAATGGAGTGCTGCAAAACGTTATTCATGTAAGCATTGCGATTATTCGTGGGCTAGATTACAGATTACTGTACCTGAAGCACTTGATTCAGTATCACTTACAACTATCCGTTATTTTGCGCAAAAGGCATGGCATTATATGGATGCTTATAGACGTGGACTTACTGGTTGGGTAGCCGAATATGCTGTACGTAAGTATCATTCTCATAGATGTATACCTAATGAAATTGATTTAGAGTTAGGTTAATAAATGCTAATAGAGTAAATCGAAGAATAGGAATTACTTATCAATGAGTAAAAAAAAAAAAAAATACATTTTGTTAATTTGTGTTTGGCCTGTAAAAAAGTAAAGTTTATTGTTAAGGGTAGTATATAAAAATCTAAAAACATTATATGTTATAAATTTAGGCTTTCTGGGTCTATTATCATGAAAGTTTATTATTGTTGGGTCTGTTTATATAGTATATAGTAGGAACTTGGCTGCGTTTAATTTAAAATTACATTTTTAAAAATAGATAACCTTGAAATAAAGTCAATACGCACTTTATAATATATTAATAGATTTATTAGATTTAAAAAAAATTGCTGCATATAATTTTTCAAATCTGAAATCCAATTCTAAATTATACTAGAATATCAAGAAATATTTATAATGATTGTTTTGTTTAGATTTTACAACATACAATAAAATCTTGTACAAGTATTACGACTAGAATGGAAAAATAAATTGAGTTTCTTGCATTGTGTAGTTTTTGATCTTGAGTCAATTCATTCGTACTAACTACTGAGTCTAATCTTACTGTTGAAAAGATAAATGAATAATATATTGTATAATCCGAATAATGTATAAATAATCAAAATAATGTGCAAATGATCAAAATTATGCACAAGCGATCGAATTATGCGCAAGTGATCGAAATAATATGCAGATTAGGGTCACTGATTTTTTGCCGCAATATACTGCCCGTAATGTGATTTTAAAACTATATATACTACATATAAAAATTTATTATACAACCAAACCTTTAAAAATTTTTCTTTTCAGTTCTTTTTTAGAAAACATGCTTATATTTTAGGTTTATTGATGGTCTATTTCAATTTATATTTAGCAAATCCAAATTTGGCGCATTTGGAATATTTCTAGCCAAATTTGGCGCACTTTATATATAGCAAGGCAAATTTGGCGCACTTTATATAGCAAGGCAAATTTGGCGCACTTTATATATAGCAAGGCAAATTTGGCGCACTTGATGACAAGTGACTTGATGCATCATATATATGTATATACGTTTATAGTTTATTAAACAATTATATCTTGAAAATAGAATACTATTGAGCCAAAAATGATTACTTTTATGTACAAGCCCTCTCAAGCAGGTTTAACTATACCAGGAACGGAGTGATGCAATCACGAAGTGTATGGTTTATACGCTGTTTGGAGTGGGATTTGTCTACAAAATCTTAAGT